GGTCGTGGCGGGTGATGATGCGCAGCAGCTGCAGCAGCTGGCGCAGGTTGCTCTCGTCGCAGCGGCCCTGCCGCTCCAGGGCCAGCAGGAAGTCGCGCCCGCTGCGGATCCGGCCCCGCTCGGCCTCGTCCAGCACGTCCACGAAGAGGAAGGAGAGGACGCGCACGTCGCGGTGGGTCAGGTGGGCGCCCACGATGTCGAACATGCGGTGCAGGCTGTACAGGCCCTGCTCCCGCTCCCCGCGCTCCTCCGGCCACGACGAGGGCGGCGGCGACGGCGGCGAGGGCGGCGCCGGCCCCGCGCGCTTGCGGTGGGAAGCCATGGAGGGGTGGGGGCCTGAGGGGAGGGAGGGAGAGAGGGGAGATGGGTCAGAGCAGGATCCGGCCCTAAAACCCATTCCCTAGGGATGGGGGGTGACGGGTCAGAGCAGGATCCGGCCCTAAAACCCATTCCCTAGGGATATGGGGTTAAGGGATCAGCCCAGGATCCAGCCCTAAAACCCATTCCCTAGGGATGGGGGGTAATGGGTCAGAGCAGGATCCAGCCCTAAAATCCATTCCCTAGGGATGGGGGTGATGGGTCAGACCAGGATCCAGCCCTAAAACCCATTCCTTAGGGATGGGGGGTGATGGATCACCCCAGAATCCATCTGGGAGAAGCCCTCAAATCCAGCCCTCAAATCCATTCCCTAGGGATATGGGGTTAAGGGATCAGCCCAGGATCCAGCCCTAAAACCCATTCCCTAGGGATGGGGGGTAATGGGTCAGAGCAGGATCCAGCCCTAAAATCCATTCCCTAGGGATGGGGGTGATGGGTCAGACCAGGATCCAGCCCTAAAACCCATTCCTTAGGGATGGGGGGTGATGGATCAACCCAGGATCCAGCCCTAAAATCCATTCCTTAGGGATGGGGGGTGATGGATCACCCCAGAATCCATCTGGGAGAAGCCCTCAAATCCAGCCCTCAAATCCATTCCCTATGGATATGGGGGTGATGGGTCAGACCAGGATCCGGCCCTAAAACCCATTCCCTAGGGATGGGGGGTTAAGGGATCAGCCCAAAATTTATCTGGGAGAAGCCCTTCCTTATGGAT